CTCTCTCTCTCTCTCTCTCTCTCTCTCTCTCTCTCCCTAATTCCTCATCTTCTCCCCCTGTTTCTCTGAAATCCCATTCCCTAAACACTGTTTCACTTTTGTGAACTTAGACCCATTCTAGTTCATCAGTGTCGCTTTTACCTGAATGCAGAGAAACGAACTCTACAGTGCGGGGAGAAAAAAATTAAGAGTTGTCCTTTTTCAAAGCTCTTGCAATATGTGTCACGTCAAGGTAGAATCAGGTGCTCGTCAATTTTCGGGCATGATGAGTTTTTTTGTGGGGTTTTTTTGGTGTCATCTCATATATATATATATATATATATATATGAAGAGATGAAGAGAACAGGAGATAAACGTTGGTAGTCACAAGCTGGAAATTGTGAGAGTGTGCCAATTTTAAAAGCTCGTAGACTCATAACTTCACATTTGTGAGACTGGTGGTTTATTGTTAAGTGTTGTTGAATGGGAAATCTAACAACAATAATCAACCAACAGTTGAAAAGAAATACAGTTATGAGTCAACAAGCGTTCAAAATTGGTACCTTCACGATTTTCAGTTTGTGACTACCGTCGTTTTCCCCCTGTTGTCATCGATATTATGTTAATTTGCCTTGCTTTCGAAGAAAAAAATATCCATGTATTCTGAATAGAGGTGCAGATATTTGCAATTGAAGGAGGTGTGGGTCGCCTTGTTTCCGAGGTAAGATTAACAAGAGAATGGGTGCCAAAGTTTGGTAACTTCAATAGCTTGAGAGTCCTTGAAAACTGAAAAATTACATATTTTGTGACTTTGATCAACATTTTTTCAGTAAAATTCACATGGAAATGAGCTTTTATATGGTTACAAAAAGTGCTTAGCCAAATTTTAAAAATTCAATAAACATTGCCATACTGGCGAAAAAATGTCTCTTCTTCGATTTCTAATTTTGACGAGCGCCTGATTTCACTACGTTGGCTGACATATAGAAAAGTTGTAACTAAGCTTAACATGCAGGGAGCACACTCGGACAAGATTACCTCCCTTGAACGGCGTCTGTTTCTGTCTGTCCCGAGGCAAATCTGATGTCTGGAATTGCCTAACTAAGTGCTTGTCTTCTATATTCTACATCCCTTCACGTCCATTCTCACTTTCCTCTCTCTTTCTATCAAATACATCTCTCTCTTCTCTCTCTCTCTCTCTCTCTCTCTCTCTCTCTCTCTCTCTCTCTCTCTCTCCCTCTCTCTCCCGTTACCCTGTTGTCATTTCCTTTCATCCTTATTACCATTTCATTCTTTCCTCTTGGTCTCCCTTTCTTGTGATTCTCAACCTATCTGCCCTAAGCCCACTCACTCCCCTCCCCAACCCCTCCCCTTTCTCCCCCAAAAGTACACCCCTGAAAAGGCCAATCTCCGTAGATTGTCCGTATACCGCTAAGTATTCGTTCATTCTGACTCTAAATAGAGTAAGATGACATCGCTTGTTTTGAAATACCCCGGGGCGAGCTGCCATAAAATGAGGTCGATTTGTAGAAGATGAAGGAAAATAAGACGAAGAAAAGAAACGGGATAAAAAGAAGAAGAAAAGAAAAGTTGCAAAAAGAAGAAGAATATAAGACGAAGAAAAACAATACGAAGAAAAAGAAGATGAAGAAAAGAAGACATGGAGAAAGAAGACGAAGCAAACTTGAGAAGAAGAAGAAGAAGAAGAAGAAGAAGAAGAAGAAGAAGAAGAAGAAGAAGAGGAAGAGGAAGAGGAAGAGGAAGAAGAAGAAGAAGAAGAAGAAGAAGAAGAAGAAGAAGAAGAGAAGCAGACTTTGAAAGAAAGGATTTCGAAGAAGAAGTGAAAAAAGAAGCAAACTTACTCGTTACTCAACGCTCTAACTATATAGAGTCGTGATTGCTTAGCTTGGCATGCAGGGCGCGCCGCCCGACTCGATTGCGTCCCCTGAACAGAGCCTACTTCCGTCTGTCGGGGCCAAACTCGGATGTCCGTGATTGGCCATCCGGGAGTCCTGCCATCGTGTCGTAACAGTATCGATCCCTCGTGACGAGCGAGGGGGGTTTTCCGCAAAGTCATTACCAGAGAGAAGGTCACACGCTGATTTAGATAGAGACCTCGGTTTAAATATCGGACCGATTACGAATACAAGATTGCGAGACTGGGCTTTTGGTTCTTTTTGGGTTGTCTTTTTTTATGGTGGGGGGGGGGTTTGTTTGTTTGTTGGTTCCTTGTTTTTTCTTGGGTTTTTTGTTTGTTATTGTTGGGGTTTGAGAATGTGTGCGTTTGATTGTCGGTTTTCGTACTTTCCACATTGAAGCTGACATTATCTATTGACCTAGCTTAGTTTAAAAGTTTTACAAAGTTAGACAAAGTATAAATGTTAACCCAAAGTTCATCGGTGAGGACGGACAATAATGTTATCTACCTTAGATTGGAACCATAGCCTTTTTGTATACATTTGTATATGATGGAACTGGAAAGCAACCTTACGTCGCTGTCTGTTCAAGCAAAGCTTGAGCGAACACGCTAAAGTCATCAGGAAAAATCTAAGAGTGGTATCCAAACCCAAAGCATCAGTAGTCCTCGACACGTTCTCTCAGTTCAGTTTCTGTTTTGCATGTCACAGCCAACCCAGGCTGAAAAGAACATAAAGGTGTCAGCAGAAAAACTGAGATATTCGACAAAAGTTATATCCATTCAAGAATCGAACTCGGTTCTTCTGCGTGCATGATAGCTAAGCGCCAACCGTAACACCACAAGCTTCTATAATATCTTGTAACTTGGCGGCTTCACCCCTAACAACAAACGTAACAACAGCAAACCTTTTGTTCTGTTTTGTCTTGATTTCTTACAGCAAGAATTATCACCGTGGTTCAGGCTGGAGTCACAAAAGAAACGAAACTTTCATTCAGAGAAAAAAAGAGCTATAGTCTGATAGATGTGCTTAATTTGTGTAAATTGAGACTCCAGCACCCAGGCGAATTACCAAACAAAAGTTCTTTAAGAAAAACGTTCTAACTTTTTATCTTTGATTTCGTAGAGGCTTTCAAACTTTCATTTGTTAAAACTTGCCCCAAGTATGGTATGCGTGCCAAGAATGATTTTTATTCTATGTTTGTTTTCTTCCGTCACCAGCATCTCATCTTACTGAAATGGATAGTATGCCCTCTCAATTTTCTACAACGGCCAAGCCAGATGGTCTGACAATGAATACCAGTACATGTATATTGGTAATGGGTGAATAATTCATATTATCTGCTCTTACTTTTACATCGGAACAGCCATAAATGCTGATGTTCGTTGTAATGCCCTCACGACATTGACTGCCCAGGGTATGACTGGTTTACGCCATTTTGAAAAGTGTCGCATAGCACAGTCTGACACCAAGCAGTCGAAATACAGATTGTTTACTTGTAAACATGGAAATGTGTACGCTTCATAAGGGACAAAATACATCACGATTTTGTCGTGTAACATGAGCCTATCAGTAAGTGTCATTATCCTTGAAACAAATAAACAACTTTTATATCCTGATGTATTATAAGTATAAACTGTGTTAAAATGTTAAAGTGTAGCTTAAAAACAAAACGTTTCACTTCTGAACAACTCCTTTTTATGACCTTAATATGCAGTTCCGAGCGCTGTAAAACACTTACCGAAACAAAACAAGAAGAGCTCCAACACGAATACCCCAGTCCTCGATTACCCGAAAACATGATACCCGAATCCAGTAGCCCGCTACCTCCCCCGTATTGAATGGGCGGTTCATTGGGCCCTCAGTTTG